TGCAAAAATTGTGGTTCTCATCATCATCTCATCAATTACCGCAGGAATCAATTTGCACCTGGCTTCGAGGTTCTCCCACGGTTATCTTATATCCTATCAAGAAGCTCCGGTGCTGTTCAATTGTTATAACACAAGCGTCTGCACCGGAGAGTGGAGCCCCAAAAGGTCAAAAAATCCGCTGAAACTTCGTTTATAAGAATATATCGGTGCAAATCTCGAATATGATGTCCATCTTTGGCACGGATGCAAGAGTCTCCCTGGGGTCGCCGCGCAAGCGAAAGTAGGTCACCGCACGCGGCGGCTACCGGTCCTTACAAGTTGGAACGTGGCAATTTGCTAGGACTAAGCAAAAACAAATGCAGAAATGGGGACTACACAGACGGAACAAAAAAGTGTTGTATCGATCGTCAGAGAGGCGGGTCCTAAACTTGGCCAATTGCCATGTTTCAACTGCAAAAACGCCGGCGACGTCGCGCGCGGTGACCTAGTTTTGGCGCGGCGTTTTAGGGAGACTCTTAACCGTCTCCCCTCTGGCACAGACACCTTTTGCATTTCCTCACAACCGCCATTGGTGGCACATTGCACCAAATTTGCATAAATTTACGCCTAAGCACCAAAAATATATGTCATAGTCGTTCAGAGCCGAGAAATACTTGTAGCCGAAGCTTCAACAACAAATTCGGTGCTAGCTCGCGGCATGTTCGCGCCCTTTTAGTGCGAAGAGAGGGCTCCGTGAGCCAGGAAGAGTTCAGAAAATCTAGGGAGCGGGAGGGGGTGGTGGTGAGTGGAGCGAGTCACTTGGCAGGGTGAAAAGCTGGAATATGAGAGTTTCACCTTCTCACTGAGAGGACAAACATGCCACGTGCCTGCCCCCTTCCCTAATTAAGTTGGGTGTGGTTCACTAACAGAAAGCGATTTTTCGCGTTTCGCAGCGCGAAACATTTTCGCTGCGGGAACCTCGGGTCCACTGATGATCAGCGGTGGACCTGAGGTTCCCGCAGCGAAAAATGTTTCGCGCTGCGAAACGCGAAAAGTCGCTTTCTATCTAGCGAACCACACATCACACATATTTCAATGATTCCATTTCAGATATCGTTTTGGAATTGTTCAAGACACGCAACGCAAAGCTTGTCGGACAATGTCGGGTCGTAAGAGAGCATTTTCCACAAAGAAAAGAGGAAAGAAAGATGCTGTCAAGGAGGAAAATGTAGTTCATACCGTCGAGTTCAAGGCAAGAAATAGCTATATATTTTGTACGACATTCTCAGGATGCAGTAAACATGGGTTTAAACTGAATCGGCTCAGCAAGTCACCTGTCGGAAGAGCTGCGCTCCATATCGGTTGTCATTAAGTGACGACTACATCAAAGTAAGGGAGCGTGAAGAAAACTAGTGTTCAGGCGATTCTGCTGTGGTGAATATGCTTGTTGAATTGATTGCCGATTGGTGATTTGGCCTGCTTACATATCTACTTTTCTTTCCCTTTTCATCTAGGGCGGAAGTGGTGTAGTGACAAGTGGCGCGCTCACCACGCGAGCGGTCCGGGGATCAAATCCTGAACCAAGCCTTCCATCCCTCCGGGGTCGGTTAATTGGTACCAGACTTGTCTGGGAGGATAAAAACACTGACTTGTACATCGGCTGGCCCCGCAAGTCATTGTATAGGCCACATCGCATTCAAACGCCACTACGAATGTACAAATGGAAGTAGAATGCGTGCCGCATCCCAAAAGGGATTGATCAACGGCAAATGCTTTATCCTTTTTTTTTCGTCTACTTATGATCTTATTTCACTACGATGCGACTAGGAGCCATACGTGGTGCTGAATGAGAAGAGCTGGTAAGGTTACGGCTCGTCATCCGGGTTTTTGTAGTATGGAAACTGGAGTCATTTAGAGGTGCGGGCTCATTTCTGTTTCCAGCTATCTGCGCTCAAGTCAACCGTCCAAATCGATACCGACCCATGGGCTATTACGCGTAAGAATTTCAGCTTCGGTGACTTCCTAGTATTGCAGCCATTCCACCCATACATACTCTGCGACTGTTAAATCTTTACCCTTGTTTTTCTTTTAGTTATCTTGGACAAATTATCCAAAAACTGCGTCCAAAGTTCCACAAGGGCCAAAACGTAAAGCTTGCGTAGCTGCGGAGTGCTAAATATTTTCTCTCTTGTACATGTCACTTCTTACAGAACAAAGCCGTGTGAGCAAGTGTCAAAATGAACACTGTTAATTTATGCTAACTTTATGTTTTGCAGTGGTGACCTAAAGTTTTCAAAACCGCGACTGACTCGAATTTCCCCAACTGTACCCTCCCTTGGGGTACCCATCAATTCTTTGTGGCAACAAAGAACTGATGGGTACTCCAAGGGGGTACAGTTAAGGACATCGGTCATTAACTAGCTTCTTGGAGACACCGGCTCCTAGAATATCCGCACCAGGAGTCGCTCCAATCGCACGATACGCACGTCAGGCTCAGCACGTGCCACCATGGAGTGTCGCGTACATATGTTGACGGCAAACTCGCCAACTCCCAGAATCAACGGGCGTTCCGCTGGTTATTGCTCGTTTCTCTTGTTTTGCTTTTACATACGCACCGATTTTCTCACAGACCCACGCACCGATTTGCTCACAGACCCACACCTGTATCTTCACAAATCAGCTATCGGAAGAGCTGCCTTCGAAGTTCCAGCCGCGCAGGACTCATAAAATTTAATGTTGCTTCTGGGTTGTGTTCTCACCGAAAGAACTTTTCTCTCGTTCTTTTGCTTGTGTTTTTACCTATCCACACACAGTGTTTAGAGTTTTGGTCACCATCGCCTCCTTAACGAGCAGCTTGCAAAGCTTCGCGAGGATTCTAGGCTGTGTGATGTCACTCTGGTAGCTGAGGTAACCCTTAGACCGCTGTCACACTCGGCGACGGACAAGCGATCGCGATCGCTCCATCGCTTGTCCGTCGCTTGCCAATCGCTCGGTCGAGAGCGATTGGCAAGCGATTGCGCAATCGCTTGCAAAGTGCACAAGCGACGGGCAATGGCTCTGCTCGATCGATACCGCAGCCGACTGCATTGACTGGGGGCGGGGCCAATCGCCCGTCGCTTGTGCACATTGCAAGCGATTGCGCAATCGCTTGCCAATCGCTCGACCGAGAGCGATTGGCAAGCGACGGACAAGCGATGGAGCGATCGCGATCGCTCCATCGCTTTGTCCGTCGCCGAATGTGACGGCGGTCTTACAATAGGTTTTAGATTCGACATTTCCTGGTAAAGATATTTAGGGTTCACGAATCAACGCGCATCGAGTCGTGCTTGCTGCAAGTTCAAAGTATTTTGAAGCCATGCTCACAAACGGCATGATTGAAAGCCGCTTGCGTACGTTTATTCCATAATTTTACAATTGGCCAAGTGTATTCGTCCGTGTGTGTTTTTATGTGTTCGAACAGCATTTCATAACTCTCATAGTAGAAGTAGAATATGGTTCAAGGAGTGGTTCAAAATATGGGCCGTGGTACTCGTTGGGGCTGGGTTGATGACAAATGGTAATATCCTCTTCCAATATCTTTTTTTGCACTAAATTCACGAGGGATGGTAACTGTTCCTGGATGAAGGCCATACATGGGAGCTACATAGGAGTTCACGTCTTTGGGCGGTTAACGGACTACTTGATTTTTCCTCAATGGTCCTGCCGCGATGGCTAGAGCACAGACGATTAGAGAACGGGTGAATGCCTAGGACTAAGCCTTGGAGAGGAGAGGGACCCGCGAGAGAGCAGAGGCGGTTTGAAGGGCTGAGTTCAAGTAGTCCGTCAACCGTCTTGGGGCGTAGGACCTGGGACCTAATCTCAAATTAGTTGATGCGTTTCACTGGAGTCTATCGTGTAATGCGCGCAGTAGTGTATGCTAGCCAAACTGTCTTTGGATTTCATTCAGTAAGGGGGGGGGGGCAGTCATTGCGGTTTAGAGCGGTTAAAAATCTTGGAAAACATCCTTTACGGTGAACGTTTAGGACTCAGCCTCAGAAGCGAGGGAAACCGCCAAGGTCCGCGAGCAATCTTCATTTTCCGCGGACGAGTTCTCCCCCCTCCTAGGCTTAGTCCTAGCTGTTCACCAGACTAATATTAATTTCATAGAGGTTTGTGTCATCTAGCACAAGAAATACATATCATTATACAAAACACCTGGCGAAATAACATAGAAAAAAGCTGGTAGCAGCTCGTAACTTTGAAGGACTCCTTGAGCCAAATTGGCGTCACAGCAGACTGCGCACCGCAATGCCCCCTCTTACCGGATGAAAACTCTGTTATCTTCTATATTCATGTATACCAATGTATTATAGCTTTTTGCAGATGAAATAGAAATTAAGGACACGGAAGCTTCTGCTCTTGAGATTTTGATTAATTTCTGTTACACTGGTGAGATAAAGATCAGCGACGTCACTGTTTGGAGTATTCTGCCTACTGCCTGCTTTCTCCAATTGAACGAAGTTCAGGTTAGTGTAAATATTATTGCACTTAAAGAGCTTAAACTCATCAAAATGTTCGAAAAATGCGGGCTCGAAAAATTTCGACGTCTGTTCAGGCATTTTGCTGTCAGTTTCTGAGGAAGAAATTGTCTCCGTTGAATTGCTTCGGAATTCGTGCGTTTGCTGAAGCTCACGCATGTCAGGAGCTTTTCCGCAGTGCTAACGAGTACATATTGCACAATTTCGAGGTTATTATTTTTCTGCGTCGACCTCGAGTTTATCGTAAAGCACTATGCTTTCAGAAACTTATTGGCACGGAAGGGTTTTATCATCTTCATGTTGAACAACTTGTTGAACTTATTTCAAGTGACGAGCTCCGTGTCCAGTCAGAAGAACAAGTACGAAGGGGAGATTCCGAAAAAAGGCCATGTTATAATTTTCAGTCATTCTGGTGTGAGTCATTGATTAATATTCGTCCAGGTTTACGCAGCAGTGGTTGAGTGGATTAGATTTGGTCTGCTGGATCGGGAACAATTTCTCTCCAAGGTGAAGGATATGTTTTTTGGGAAGATCTGATGGTTGTTTTTGTGCAATTTTTGCAGTTGTTGGAACATGTACGACTTCCACTTTGTCACCCGCTCTTTCTGGTAAACACAGTCAGTGAAGACGCGTTGGTGAAGGCGGACGCTGTCTGCCGACATCTTGTCGATGAAGCGAAGGTTGGCAGCGTTCTTGAGAGGTCACTTCCACGACGATTACCATCTCTTTTATGTACGATCGTCTGTCGTTTCAGAACTATCAGCTTCTAAAACGGTTTCCGTCCAAATTACCAAACATGCAAGGACCACGCACCAAAGCGAGGAAATCAATCAAGTTTGGTGGACTGTTATATGTTGGTATGTTAAATATAGTACAGCAATCTCTTTAGTTGACTCTTTCTCTCATAGGTGAATATGCGTTTCAGAAGACTGAAGTACAGATTCTGTTGGTGGCCAATTCAAGGCAACAGTACATAGTTTGCGACCGTTGGAAATTGAGCTTAAAACAGGGCATTCACGTTAATTTTTTTTACAAGCGTTCAGAAAGATTAATTCTCAACTCCACGGGAAGACGCGGCTTTTGGCACCTGTTTCGCTCTTTCGTCCACCTTTTGGAAAAGAAATATTACACCATTCATCAGTGATAGTAAAATCGCCATCCATTTTTTAACTAAAAGCCCATGGAATTCCAGAGCAGCGACCATCTTCTCATGTGTAGACAGTAGCTTCCAGATAATGGAAGGGTGTGTGGATGAGTAAGCACACCATAAATAACAAAATAATCAAAATCGAGGACTGGTCAAAGTGATTCAGTAGCTAAGGGACAATATCTATTTTGATCTGTTTAAAATTCAGCGGGAGGTAATTGCAACGACGAAGCTCTTACTTCCGTGGAGTGTCTTGACCCTGGAGAAGCAATCCCTATGTGGCGGCACGTTGCTTCAATGTTTTGGGCAAGGTACAGTGCTATCTTGTAAAGACGCTCATGCTTTATAAAAAAAAACATTAGGGATGGAGCCGGCGTTGCTGCTATCGACAACTTCCTCTACGTCATTGGCGGTCGTGATGAAGGAGCCTATTTAAGAAGCACAGAACGGTATTATTTGTTGGTTTTCTCCAATGAGGTGTGTGGACGAACGAGCTGTTCCAACTAACTTACTCTGCCGGCATCTATTGCTGGATCGTGCCAGCAGGAGAAGCGGCTGGAATCACTTGTGCACAAATACAAACCGAGACATGTGCACCAGTACAAACAAAGAAATACGATAATTGAACGATTTTAGACTAAAACTAACAGATTCCTTCCAACCAGGGTCAACCGCCCGTTGCGCAAAGAACAACGAGGGGGTCGTATTCAGCCGACCGAAAAGGGAGGGGGTCGTATCCACAGAGACGGCTGCAAGACGGCTTGAAAAGTGCAGTGTCCGGGACACTTTCACGCTCTAATGTTCTCCAGGAGCTCTGCACGTGCAGCTGTCGGAGAGTCACACAGACAAGAGCTCCATGGGAGCATTAGAGCATGCAGAGCATTATAAGTCTCACTATCAGCCATTATTATCCTTAATACACGGACGGCGCTTTCGCTCGACAGCATAGATCAAGATTACAATAGCCAAAAACTTTGTTACAGCGTAGTGCAAAAACATGGTCTGTCTTCGATGATCGAACATTCCTGAAATCCCAAGGAGAACAAAGTGTAGAGCAGTTCATGGGGAAGTGAAACAAGAGTACCATATAACAGTACAATGCAACTCAATCACGATACTAACACCTTCTTCAGGAAAATGGAAGACTTTCAAATGCGAGTGCGACTTCTGCCACAGACAGGTGCACGGCGTATACCCGAGCAGGCGTTTTCCCATAAAAACGCCTTCTCTGTCAGCGGCCGTAAGCAGACAAACTTCCTGAAGAGAATTTCGATGCTTTCAAATCAAATCTAAGCGGAACAAAGTGTAGCGAACTTGCTGAATTGAATTCTAGAGACCCCTTAGGAAAATTGAGGCAGAAGAAAGAATTTCAGAAAAATTTCACAGTGTTATGAAGTACTCTTCGAGTAGATTCTAACAGTCTTTACCGCTTCTCATCACATTAATTTCAAGGAAGTTATGGGCCTTTGAAGACTGCATAGTCGCGGTCCAGGAAATGGCTTGAAAAAAATCAAGGTGGAAAAACGGAACAACGGGACTATTTTTTGAGCGAGTGATTATTTCAAAAGTTTTAGCACTTATTCGAAAGCTCTAATCCTCTAGTTTCTAATTAGCCTTAGACATCTGCAAAATGTTGAGTATGAAGAAAGTTATGAACGTTTGAATGTCGAAAACTCGCGCCTTCTCAAAAATCGGACCACAAACCCCCCCCAAAACGGAACAACGGGACTATTTTTTGAGAAAAATGATCGCTGGAAAATTTTCAGGTGCTTGTTCGAAAGCTCTAATCTTCTAGTTTCTAATTAGCCTTAGACATTTGCAAAAAGTTGATTATGAAGAAAGTTATGAATGTTTGAATGTCAAAAACTCGCGTGTGCAATTCAGACCAACGGACTGAATACACGACCTTATTATGACTTATTTTCTTGAAGCAACAATCCCAGCAGGGTTCTCACCTTCAATACTAATAAGGTGAAAGGATGCACTAGTCCCAGTCAAGAACATGTGAAGTGTGGCTGAACAGAAAATTTACATTGGAAAGCCGCAAAAAGGGAACTGAACACCTTTGAAGTGGGCGTGTGGTTTCGTCGAATCAGTGCCCACTTGCCAGCCGTGGAGCTCGCGTGCTTGGCTGCAGGTCCTTACGCGATTGCGTGAGACCGTCCCGCGTTTCGAAATTGATGCTGCTCTTTTTGATTGGTTTCATTTGCTTTATTCATTTAATTTTTATCTGATGCACATGTCTCTGCTTGTATTGATTCATATGCAATTGCAGCCTCACTCATTGCTGGTACTAACCAGCAATAAATGGCGCCACAAGCTAGTTCGAACAGCTCGTCCAGAACGCCCCTTTCTTCATTTCGAGAGGAAACGTAGCGGTTTTCTTTGTTTTTATCCCGTTTGCAGTCAGCTCGGCATTCACAAGCTCAGTATCTACCATTTTTTACCCCGCGAGTTCAATCTGGAATTGTTACTTTAAGTTCAGATTTGATCCCGCTACTGGGAAATGGTCGGGTGACGTAGCTCCAATGCTCCGTAAACGGTACGCATTTGATGTGGCTACGCTTGATGACTTTATTTATGCAGTGGGTGGGAGCGATGGTACACAATGTCTGAACATTGTCGAACGGTAAGAAACATGTGGACCGTTTGTCGCTCGCTTGTTTTAAGATCTCGTTGTTGGAGGTATGATCCCAGACGGAATCAATGGATCAGTGGAGCACATATGCTTACATGCCGAGCTGGATTATCTGTTTCCGTACTCAACGGTTGTTTATACGCTGTAGGAGGATGCGATCGATCAACATTGAATACCGTGGAGAGGTAAGATGGACGTCACACTCGGCGCAGGGTCAACCCTATGTTGCTACAAGTAGCAACGGGGGGGTCGTACTTGGATGGACCCGGAGGGGGGGGTCGTACTCTCTCGGTGGCCGGCAGTGGGATTTGTGGTAATCTCCCTACTGATCATAACCATGTTTCAGGAAGAGCATGAGAAAGGAAGACTTGCAGAAACAGCAGCTGCAAGACATCGTTCAAAAAAGTGCTCCCACCATGACATGGGTCCACCCACGAAACCACATTTGAAACTAAAGTGTAGCTGGAGTATTGCCTAAGACAACATGGACAATAGTCACCACATTACGTTTACGCAAGATAATTGATGCTAGAGCATCTGTAAACCGCTTCCTTCTGAATGAGCTTTCAAATGAATCAGCGAATCAGAAGCGCGACCGAGGCGTGGCGCACACCAAGGCAGGGGGATGTAGTGCAAGCGCATGCTCAAAGCATTCTAACACATCCTATGGTCAACACGATATTGTTTTACGTGCTGGTTGCGGAAAGTGAA